CACGACTTGATTTTCTAATTACATTCTTTACTACTTATTAGTAAGTAGATATGGTAAATGTGAATTCAAGAAAAATTAAGGGAGAATTGACTATATAACAAAACAAATAATGAAATGAATGTATTTTTTCATCACATACTCTTTCCTTTAGTTAATAGTCTAAGCACAATTTACAATAACAAATAAGCGAAGTAGAGTTATTTTTTGTGTTTGAAAATATAGAAGTTTAATTAGTAACAAATATGACATCAAAACTGAAATAATTTCTGTGATTTAGTGAATAATCTGGAAATTAATAGCCTATAAAATTATGATAATGATGATAACGATAATAATGATAATAATAGTAATAATAATAATAATTTTTATTAATAACCGTGGCATCTGAACATATCACTATGCTACTTTTTTTGGATGACACAAATGAGAGCTTTGTAATATAAGTCGAAAAATATGAGGATAGAAACGTAAGAGTTAAATGATAATGAAATCATTACAATTCCTGGATATTAACAACCAATAAAGAAGGACAAACCCATAAATAATAAAAGATTGGCTCCTTAATTTGGTAAGATTTTTAATTATATAACTAAATATGAGAAACGAATTAGTTATATATATATATATATATATATATATATATATATATATAACGCAAAGTGAGGACACCAAGACTGGTACACATGGAGATTTATTAAACCCAAAACACAACAACGACGACGCTAGTTGAAAATACACTCGTTTATATATTGATTGTACACAAATTTCGATTATTAATTAGGATGAAATCACATATATGAAAAGTAACTAGAGTTTTAACTAAATCACATGCTGAGTGTCATGCTGAGCTTAGTTCATATTAATTTAAGACAAGAATATCGTATCATGAAAAAACACCCCACTCAAATAACTTAATACCATACCGAATAAAACATCACATTGAAAAACAAAACAAATACTACACTGAGTAATTATCACACTGAATTGATCAAACAGATGTAATGTTAAATAAAAATCATATTGAGTAAACGAATCTAATGTTGCCTTTTTATCTCGTCATATTAACATTAAATGTTGGGTATTGGATAATATAACAATGGAGACTGTAAGATAACTGATTAGTGTTCAGCTGTAGACGACCATTTATCATGAATTTTTTGACACTATGTCAATTCACTTTAACTGGAAAATACCCTAAGCAAATGTTACCGTCAACTCTAATCTAATATAAATAATGACTTTCAATTTGGGGTTGTGCAGATTATTACATTTCATTGAAATCATGAGCAGATCAATGTTAAACAACTATTAGAAACCTGGAGGCACCGGGTGGTTGTTTCGTCCTATAATGGGACACTTTAGCAGTGCATATCCATAATCCAGCACGCGGGGTTCGAACCGAGCATTTTTATTAGTTCAGTGACAAATCAAACTTTCACCACATATGGAACTTAATAGTTGAGTTCATAAGTCGATTTAATATAGACCACCCTGGAAGCGCTAAACGGCCGTTTCGTCCTAGTATGGAACTGATTTTTATCTTCGCTAACATTGAAAATCTTGATTAAGAACTCAATTTATGATCAATAAACAAAGAAAGATTCAAATGGTCTTCAGCTTTTGCATAAAGTTAACTAATTTGGGTCAAATGTTGGTTCTTAAAGGTCGTATATTTATTGTTTGCTTACAAATAATTAGTGATAAGTTCAATAATTATTGACTAATATAACCTGACCATTTTTCGGATTAGATAGTGGTTGGAGGTAGTCGACAGGAAACCCTGAACCTGGGTTTCGTGCTATTTGGCACTCGTCAGCAAGGTGTACCTGTAGTCCTGAGGGGACTGGTGCTCCCTGGAGGATTCGAACTCGTGTCACCCAGCTTCACAGTCAGAGACGTTACCACTGAGCTATCCGAGCCGCGACTAACCTCCTGTAGGACTGAGATGTGATCACAATTGATTGATCACTGGATGGCGATCAATGTCATGCTTGTTTAGTCCTTATTAGTGCAGACCGAATTCTATCGATCATGTTGCAATGTGGCCACCAGTCTAGGTGACTCGACACTGCGGGCACTATATATTGAGATTAGATGGTGGTTGGAGGTAGTCGACAGGACTAGACACGCATGACATTGATCGCCATCCAGTGATCAATCAATTGTGATCATTTTTCGGATTATTAATTTGGATATATAATCGTAGAACCTGAAGAGAATTTATCGAAAAGAATATTCTTCGTTCAAATATTAGTCTTTTAATATGATGGGGATCTTTAAACGACTAACATAGTGTTAGAACAACGTGAATAAAATTGCTTTCAATTCGATACTCATTAGGCTTTAGTCTAAGATATAGTAATATTTATACTGATATATGAAAACTGCCAAATAAATATGAACAGCTCGATGTGTTAACTTAGTTCAGTCAACTGCCGTGGAATGTATCATAACTTTTATTGAAAGTTATTTTAGTGTGAGTCATTGACCTTCATGTGATGAATGATTGATTCAAGCTTTTAGTATTCTGATCACCCTATCAATTTGTACTTTTTTGTGCTTATTTATGTAATTTATTCCACTGTTATCATCGATAACACTGACTTATAAACTGCCATGATTGGTTTAATGTTTTCATATATCAGTATAAATATTACTATATCTTAGACTAAAGCCTAATGAGTATCGAATTGAAAGCAATTTTATTCACGTTGTTCTAACACTATGTTAGTCGTTTAAAGATCCCCATCATATTAAAAGACTAATATTTGAACGAAGAATATTCTTTTCTATAAATTCTCTTCAGGTTCTACGATTATATATCCAAATTAATAATCCGAAAAATGGTCAGGTTATATTAGTCAATAATTGTTGAATATATCCTTTGCTTATCATGACTAATTGATAACAACATGGGATTTAAAATGATAGGTATTGGGTGCATGTTTCATACAGAACATCAACAATAGTACATGTGGTATTATTACGCAACCCATGAGAGCCAAAACGAGTAATCACTCAGCTGGATACTTCTCAAAAATTTAAATATTTTCCACAATTAAGTTGAACTATAGGGTAATCAGTTTATAGTCGCTTCCATTTTTGGTAGTGTTAATCACGAACTGATCTTATCTAGGCCACAGTTAGAATCCAGGTAGCAACTAGTGGTTTTATTTCGTCCTAGTAAGTGCCTATCCAGGACCTGGCATACTCTCGTGTAAGAACTTTTAACCTTCAGACACTGAGCCGGCATCCAATGGTGTTAGCATCTGACTTTGATCCCTTGACAACATTACCTAATCCACATTCATCCTCGACATGGTTGAACTCTACTGATAACGGTTTCTCACCAGAGTTCCAGGAGTTCCATCTAAAAGTTAGTCACTAGTAAGCGTATGATTATTTTTAGTAAAGAGGGATTTTTGGAGGCTGTAGAATTATTCTATTTTGAATTATGAACTGATCCTAACCGGACAACTGTTGAACTCTTTACTTCTCGATTGGTTTTAGATGAGAAGTGATAGCTTAATAGTTAAGTAATTGAATTACACTCTCCCGATTTCAGACCCTAACTTCACTCTATATACTTCTATTTGAGCAATAGAATAGTGTCATTAGCTTTTACATCAAGCGTATGACGATAAGCTGGGTAAATAGATTTGTACTTAACAACTGATTTACATAAAATTAAGCTCATTTTCTGAATAAATCGAAACTGATTCAACGATCAAAACTTATAACCAGAATATCAAGAACTCATTTCGAAGTATTCTAGTAGTGACTTTCTGATTATAGTTTAGATGAAGTGGTTACGTGGTTATTACGCCTCGTTTATGAGTGGTATTCGTCACTTAACTCAATTGGGTTAACGCTGAAGCCACTACTGACATAAATCGGTTGCTTTAATCAATTAAACTTGATGTCTTAGTGACCATTGTCCGAAATTGATATCGGTTAAAAAAGTAACGCAAACCACGGAGCAAAGCTTTATCTAACGATAATCATGTAACCCTAAGTGATCAGAACTGTACATATAGTCACTTACCAATGATGTTGGATGACGACTTCGCTAGATTTAGAATCAACCACAGTTAAAAGTAATGTGCCCTGGATTCCAACTCAGGTACTCCAGTTTATTTCATGAAATGTAATTTTTATCATTTAATGATATTAGACAGAACTACTAAGAATAAAGAGCCGCTACATAACTATTTCCTGTTAGTCTTGGACTAAACCATACCTAACTTAGTAAATTGCGGTCTTATGGCTTACACTATACAGTCCGACATCATCACGTTTTCGACGAGCTACTTTCGTATTCTTTACTTATTCGACACAACAGACCAAACCTAATCATAACCTCGAGAAAACTATCTCAAGTTCATCCATCTTTAGATGGATGGCTTCCCTGATTTTTTTTAAAAGGGATTCACTTACATCAAAACTTTTATTGATAAAAAAAGAAAGTTCTACCGATGACATTGCTTACTAGTCTCATTTTTAATAGAAAAAAGTATATTTTACAAACGACCCGAAACTTTAAAAGTTGTATTTCCCAATAATCTAACCATTCCTTTAGATCATTAATTCGAAAATAACAGTGTATAGCCTGTAGGAAGTCTATCGAAATAATGTTCTTTGTTTATATCGTTGATGCAACGCAATGAAAATTTGTAAGCTCAATTTTCCTAATTACTCATTATAGTTAGTCATAGATTAATTCATAGTCAACCAGGCATTTCATAGTCTTTGTTTAACTGACCAATCAGGCAATTCTTTATTTAGGTGCAGAAAAACATGTTAGGTCGATTAGTCATCTTGACCTTTGTTTGTTAGAAAATAACCTTGAACTACAGTAAGACTTGTGTTGACAAAATACACATTGTTATAGGTAGATTAAGTGGTCCAATAAGAGGAGACATAATAAACCAATTATTCATAACATTAAATAATGCTAAAAAATCATATAAATACGATCGTGCAGTCCATTTTTTCGTACACGTTTCTCTACTTCTTAAAATAATGAGTGGACGCGGTAAAGGTGGTAAAGTTCGTAGTAAGGCAAAAACAAGGTCAGCCCGTGCCGGTCTTCAATTCCCTGTTGGTCGTGTACATCGTCTTCTACGCAAGGGCAATTACGCTGAGCGAGTAGGTGCTGGTGCTCCAGTCTACCTAGCTGCAGTTCTCGAATATCTGGCTGCAGAAGTTTTGGAGTTGGCTGGTAATGCTGCTCGTGATAACAAGAAAACTCGTATCATTCCAAGACATTTACAGTTAGCCATCCGCAACGATGAAGAATTGAACAAACTTCTTGGTGGAGTTACAATCGCACAGGGTGGTGTCCTTCCAAACATACAAGCAGTTCTTCTGCCCAAAAAGACTGACAAGGTCAAGCCTTAATTTCTCGCATCTAGAGCGTGAGGAGTAAGAGAACGTGAAACCGGCCCTCTTTAGGGCCACAACCACGTGATTTGTTTGTCTTTCTGAGTGATTTCAGTCATTTTGGTTGCGTTGTATTATTAATTTATAATCGAGCTATTATGACTGAGGACTTTCTTATCGCTTATAACAACACTTGTGTAGGCATGGCTTTTCTGAATTAGGATGAACTATTTGCAGGCTAGACGAAGTCGAAATTGTGTTTAATGGGCTGCATGTGAATTCGCAGATGGTTTACTTCAATGTAGTATGAGTCTATCGGGATGATTCATCGCCACTGACTGAATGTGCAGTTCTTATAGCATATCATTCAGGTGAACACTTCAGGCTCTACTTCTGGAACTAGTCGTTAGGACTCATGATTGGGTTGGTAAGTAAATTGATAGGAGCGGTACTTACCACTAAAAATAAACAGGTCCTTCATTAGTTTCTATCTGATTAACAACGTAATTAACACTGCCAAGCCTAAGCAAGTGCAATAAACGGATGAAGAGTACTGACCACCGAACTGTCATTAGCTCTTGCGACGTCAAATGGTGGTCTGGTGTAGTTTGGTAGGTGCATGTTTCCACGCGACATTTATAGATACCGTTCTAATGCACAGGTGGGATTAAATTATGTCTTAATTTTCTTAATTAATTTTCCTGAATTAGTGACCTGATTTGTATAACCATTACGTACTGATTCTCATTAGGGATATCTAACGTTATAATTCAGGAGGTTACATTCGGTTAGTTACCTTATGATACTACCAATTGACAACACTAATCTATGGACAAGTCGTGATTTCTTTATTGTTATTACATTAAGAAGATGAAATTCTCCTACCATGCATTTGAGCCTTTACAACAAACATTTCTGACCTTTATTAAATGACCTCTAATCTATTAACATCACAATTTGGAGTATTTATATTGTAAAAGATGCAAACGTCCAACATTTTTAATATTGTCAAATCCATTAAGGCATGGTATATTTTGGCCTTTGTACAATCTCACAATGGTTATGGACCTATGACCGTAGACCTCGATGATGAGGTTATTTAAGACATTTATTCGAACAAATATTCAGTGTCGGGATTTTAAAAATATATTCGTAAAATCTCATCGAAGAAATGTCAACACGGAGATTATGGTTCTTGAAAAAGCTTGAATCAGATTACCAAGTGAAACGTTTAATTTACTTAAAATGTAATTCCTCTTTAATGTCTCACATCAACTCGGCGCCCAAATACTGCGAAACTATTCGATCAAATTTTGATGGGAGATCTTATATAATTTCAGAGATTTTATAAATATAATTTCCTTGATGAAGTTTATTCTTTCCAGGTTCTATAATTATATGTCCCAATTAATAATCCAAAAAGCGGCCAGGTTTAAGTTAAAGTCAAGATTTCTTCAATGGTGTCATTTATGAATTGTAGTTTTATGAATAGTATCTTCTTATGGACGGTGGGTATCTTTGTCCTTGTTTTCTTCTCCATCATACGTTTGTCGATGAATTTCATGGGATACCCATTCATGCTAAGTAGGTTCCGAATATTATTTCTTATCTTGGGATGGTTGTAGAAGATTGCATTTAATCTGGCATCATGTTCACAAACCTGACCTTTGGATTCAAAAGAGATTCGTACAACCACTTTTCCTGCCCTGGCCATCAGTTTAAGATTCCCTTCAAAAGAACTATTTTTCATACTTCTTCCACTTGTTTTTTTTATTTTTAACTTTTGTAATTTTATCTGTGAAATTTCTAAAATCTCCACAAAACCCATTCTGATAATTTTATTTCTGTTGCTTTTGAACTTAACTTCTCAACATTCATCTCTTGATTCTTACGTAACTATCATCCTATTGACCATCCGTTAAAATTCTGTTCCTTCTTTGTTTCTAAAATTACGCAACGTAGCAACTTCTTGATCACTTTGAATATTAAAGATCCTCTTTCTTCCAATTAATCAGTGTTAATTTAAGTGTCATTATGTAATTATTACGTAACGTATCTACTCGACGATTATTATATTATTATTGTAAAACATATATATATATATTAGTGTAGAGCCATGATGAAAAACTAATTGAAAAGAAATTTACATTAGTGTGTAAGAGACATGTGAAACGAAAAGTGTTAAGGCAACATATTGTGTGTATACGTGAGAAGAAATTTCATTCAACTATATATTGTCTTCGGTCTGTGTCATAGCATAATTTAGATGAAGATAAATAAATAAGATTGGTAAACAAGATAATAGATTGAATTCAAAGAGGAATGTATTTGTGTTATTTTAATGTTCCAGTCAATTGTTCAACATATTCAGATATGATAACTGATTTCAACCGTTGAATGTATTATCTATTGATTAGTTAATATGATATAGATAACTGGAATGAAATAAGGAGTTCAGATTTACTTATTAATTATTAGTTGCCATGGGACAGCTAGTTGTATTCCATCTCTCCTATTAATACTGTTTGGATTAGCCCATATATTTAGGGCTTCGGCTGTTAGTCGTTCTTTGTAAGAAATAGAGCCTTTCTGAATGTTTCTTGCGCCATTGAAATCAATTGTATGACCCGATTGTATCGAGTGTAATGCTATCGCTGATTTGTTCTCAAGTTTTCTTACCTCAGCTGAAGATTTAGGAATGTGCTTTAAGTATAGTTTGTGTTCCTTCACCCTCACATCCAGTTGCCTTGATGTTTCACCTACATACGTTGCATTCCAGTCACTACATTTGATTTCATAAACACAATTCTGTTGTTCTTCATTGTGTATTGGATCTTTGATTCTTACTACTTTTGATCTCAGAGTATTGTTTGTTCGAAAGAATACTCTTATATTTTGAAGAGTTAGAATCCTTCTGATCTCCTCTGAAATACCTTTACGATATGGGATCACCACTTTGTTAGTCCATTCTTTTGCTTAATTCTTTTTTTAATAGTATCGTTTTGTTCTTCATTCTTAATTATTCTTTTGATAAAATCCTTCAGATAATTATTCATCATTAGAGTGGATGTAATTAAATTCATTTCTATTTTCTATATCATTTGGTTCAGTGACAAGTTTTTTAACTCTGGTGATCAAATTTTTGGCTACTGTCACTTTGGTAGACTGTGGATGTGCTGACTTAAAATCCAGAAACTTCCCTGAATATGTCGACTTTCGGAAAATACTAATTTTTAAACAATCAATATACTTCCTTTCAACTAAACAGTCTAGAAAAGGTAATTTGCGTTCAGGAGATTCCAAATCATTAGTGAACTTGATTTTGTCATAAATGTTGACACGTTTAAATAGTTCGTCTAAACCATCTCGTTTTATAATGACAAACGTGTCATCCACATATCTTAACCAAATTTTCGATGGAATGGGACACATTGAGATAGCACTTGTTTCCGGTGAATACATGAAGAAGTTAGCAACAACTGGAGAAACCAGTGATCTCATAGCTATAACACTGTTGTTATGAATAATTCTGATCATGAAAACGTCAATGAACATCTCCACATTGGACCCTATGAAAAAGTCATGAATAACAAATGTAGAGCCAATTTAAATAAGTTGAAACGGCCAAAATGTTACAGAAGTTAAAATCCAAACTAAGATCATCTTTATGGCTTTCTTTATATCCGGAAAGCAATAACCCTTTTAGATTTTATGGGCTACCGAAAATACATAAAACAGATATTCCACTAAGACCTATGGTTGATTACAATAAATTCACCAACCTATAATTTTTCTAGATACTTGGCCAAAATTCTTAAACCATATATGAAAGCGTAATCAAATATGGAAAAAGAAACTCTAATGATTTCAAAAACATTGTCAGTAATATTTGGATAGAAGAGGATGAAATAATGGCAAGTTTTGATGATTGCTCATTGTTCACTAATGTTACTGTTAATAAAGCTTTAGTTATTGTGCATAATCTCTTACATGAGCAACTATTGTAAGTGAAAGAGCAAGATAAAGCAGTTCAGTTCTCGTACTCACTAAACTTGATTTCAGTTAGGTGCTTATTGCTGATTAGTTTTATTAAAGTCCCAATGGACAGTGATGATTTGTCGACAGAACCAGGTCAAGATTGAGAAAATAGGTAAATGGTGGTATGTATGCTTCTGAAATCTGTTCTATTCAACTCAGTGTTGTAATTTCGTATTGATGATGAATTCTCAACTGGAGTGAAACATACGTCTGTTTGTGATAAATATTATCGTCAAAGTAACAAGATATTTTTGATCTGGTCATTACATTACATCTTCACGAAACACCAACATTTTACGTGATTGACAAATCTTTAGTGTTGAGGGACATAGGCTAAACATTACAAATACTTTCTTTTATTAGTATTACTGTAAAGTATGAGAGAAATTCACCACATTACAATATGTGTTGCCGGCGACCATACCACGTTGAAAGCACCGGTTCTCGTCCGAACAATATGTGTTAATAGTTATTTGGAAAATATACTCTAAAATATACACTAAGTCACGAAACGTCAGAAAATCCAATTTTTTACTCATTGGGATATTACAAATATATTATTTTTATTTATAAATATACTCTTTGTTTAAAATTCAGTGTTGTAGTAATCAAAGTGATTAAAACATTGAAAAAAATACTTGCATAAATCTTAGCGACTGAATTTGAAATAAATTCAAGCTCTGCTCAGCAGTGTGATAGTGACTAAAGATAATTTTAGTGATGATATTATACTTCATTTTACTTAGTGCCACTCAGTTGAAGGTGCTCTACAGAAGTTCATGGGTTATTATGTCAGTACATATGAATTACTATCCTCATTCATTACTTACGCCTGTTATACTTAGAGGAGGATAAATCGTCAATCAAAATTCTCTAGCCAACTCTGTCATGAGCTCTCCTTTCCAATTGTTTTGAATCGCTATTCATATCTTTTATGTCCGGCTCCAGTTCACGACCTTGGGTTTTCCTCTTTTTATTTTCCTTTCCGGATTCCAAGTTAGCGCTTGTCTAATGATACAGTTTGATGATTTCCATAATATGTGTCCTATCCATCTCCAACGACTTTTCATAGTTTCCTATTTCTCTAGAAGATTCTTTGTTCTCTCGCACAGTGGATTGTTGGTGGTGG